AAGCTGAAAAGAGACGATAATGTCATAATGGCATTCTTATACCAAACATCGGACAATTAAAAAACGTTTTCTCTCTCCTTCAAAATCTATTTTACAAGCAAATCAGCCACGCCAAGACGATTCCTTCTCAAAACTGTTACCATAAAAACACATGCATTGAGACATGATTAAAAATGATGCAAACTGTAACGCTTTGAAAGAATTGAACGAAGGAAATTTTTTTTTTTTGCAATATAAACACATCTGTACCAACTGTTATGCATAAGGGATTCACAATTTTTATAGGTTAATCAGTCAATCATTGCAAGTGCTGAGTGGCGACGAAATGGTGAAACTGTGATAAGACAACAAATAGGAAAAGCCTTAAAAACTGACTGTGAATGACTGTCACAAGAGAAGAGAAAAAAAAATAAAACAAAATCAGAAATTAATTGTGGGATTCATCACTTTTTTACCCAAAATAAAAAACTTATGATAAAGTTAGAAAAGTAGAAAGAAGTCAACATTTTGCAACTGCAAATGCACTTTATTCAGTGCTCATTAGTTCGCTGTTTTCACCAAAAAACAACGCTCAACATACCATTACATACTGTTCAGTGTAGTTCAGAGAATTCATCATTCTATCGAAAAAAGGTAACAGAACAAAAAGGGCCTATTAAAAAAAGAAAAACAAAAATAATAGAGAAAAGAGCCGCCAAAAAGGAGCAAACTAAATGAAGCGTAAAAAGTACCCAGTTTACAAGTATGAAAAAAAATTTTTTTTTTGAAACAAAGCAAAAGGTTAAGAAGGTCCTAAGACTTAGACAATGAAAATGTCAACAAATTGCGCAAGCAGGTAGAAAATAAGACAAAAAAAAATTTTTTTTCGTGGTGCTGCTGGTGAAAAAAGAACACAGAAAATACTTTAAATGATGACGGCTATAGTGCAATAGCACATTTTCTCCCCATCTTCATCGTTATTTCTCCTACTATTATTAACTGTGAAAATATCACGAATATGATGTAAATAAATAAATAAATAAATA